AAAAATTCAAAATACTTCAACGAACACGAGCTCCTTCCCACTGGCCTCTATTTGCTTACTGAAGCTGATATTGTCCACAAAGATCAAATAAGTAGTCTGTAAAAATACAAATGTAATGTAGCTCAAATTTTTTAGCCTATTTAACGCTCAGTGAAGAGATGGATGGAAATGGGCCAGCACTTCACTACGTGAGGAGCAGCGGTTTGCCCCTGCACACAGCCTCACGCTTCACATGGGCACACTGGTGCGTGCCGTGGAATAGAAGTATATCTAGGCTTCAAAACTTCCGTGACGATGTTTCCAGATGTTCATGTTGTTATTTTCTAAATGCACACTATACCATGATGTCTAAGCATAAAACATTATTTTTTCCCGATCGCATTCTCCTCAAGGAGGGAGTGAGGGTAGTACTGAACACTTTGAAGACCTTGCTCTGCCTGTATCTAAGAGGCACCAAGTAACACTTCTGTACCACACAGAACCAACCTTGGTGAAAAACATTGTCTGACCTTAGGCCAGAAAGTAAGACTGGATGTGAAAATCTGAGCATCTTTCAATTCTATAACCTGGTCCTCTTTGATCACAAGTGGATGAATTTAACTCACCATGAAGGAGTTTGTTAGAACCTTGTGTAAAGCTTTGGCTGCTGACACTATATGCGTTCTCTAACGTCTAGACCTGAAGGTAAATAGCTGCTATAATCTCATTCAGTCCTCCAGCTGCCCTGTTATTTTTGTATCAGACAGGGCTCCAAAAAGAGGGACAAAGAATAGGTCAGATCATCTCTGTGAACAGCCATACCAAGAAACTAACAGCAGAGTTAACTCTGATGCTAAAAAATGGCACAGAAAATGTCCCAAATTATTTTATTAACATAGCCACTAAGTGCCTTCCTCACACATTAGCTCCATGTAGAGGATGTAGTCTAGGGAGGAAAACTGGCAAATTGATGATGAATTTTGAGACTCAGACTGGAGTTAGATGAGCATTTCAGAAGTGTATACAGCCACCTTACCCTTATCCAATCAAATATTGTTTTATGACGCCTAATGCCCAAGCAAATAATGATCTTTTAAAAGGACGTTCCCTTATGACATTCCCTTTACAGGTGGAGAAACATGAAAAAAGAGAATTGAAATTACCTATTTTGGGCTACCCTGGAAAAATGTGGGAAATTCAAGAATGAATTGTGCTCAGTTTTTTGCATCCAGCCTTGCACTGTGATTCCCAACCATTATCCTTCTCTGGGGCTCTGTATTTAAGAAAGCAACCTACCAGAAGTGCTGACCCACCAGACATCACACTCATTGAGCTGCACTTGATTCGTTATTTCAGACTGAGAGAAAATCAACTCTGAAACTTGACTGGGTTCTTCCATTTGGAGTTTAAGATCCTTGTATGGCAAAACTATTGTCTTCACTCCTTCCACAGTCCCACACATTCAGTTTTGCTACTAACAAACCAAGATCAGATTCAGTTACTGTATAACCTCCATTTATTTCCAGTGTCACGTATATGTACTAAAAGATGAGGACAAAAAAATATGTAGCTATGAAATTCAAAGTTACTTTAAAACACATACACACCAATAGATGAAATTGAAACATATTCTAACTCCATGTAAACCTGTTTTCTTGACTTTTTAAATTTCATTTTTGACACTGCAAAAAATTTTATTTAAAAAGAAAATGTCATTTACTTCACATAATAGTTGGGCACAACTCTACCCCACCTTCCTTTCGCTGTATCATTGTAAGGCCTTCCATTCTGAACCATTTGCACTATAGTGCTCCTAATCCATTACCTGAATTGAAGTATAAAAATACAAGTACAGAGATACAAGACAAACTGCTGGCTTCAGAACTCCACCCCTGTGGAGCAGGCATAAAATGCCACAGACATTGGCATGCTAATCAACATCAGTGCTAGTGGCCTACATACACGTGAAAACCCCATTTTACAAAGAGCAGGGTTTTGCCAGACACTGAGAAACCATGCTTCTCCCATATTTATCTACCTCCATCTGCTGCCCTAGTGTACTGCTTCAATTTCTTTTATAAAAAATAAAGGTCAGAGAAATAATACTAGTGATCAGCAGTGACAATGAATCTGGAACTTAGGTAATGTTTCTTGGTTCCCAGCACAGTCCCCACCTAGGTTGCCACATTCCCCTGAACTGTCTGACAAGAAGCAACTGCAGCAGCAAAAGTCTCCGTTTCACTTACATCCCAGTTAGTGGTTAGTGCCACACGCCAAAATAGAGTTGCAGTGGAAAGCCAAGAGCCAGTAGTGATGCGAAATGAAATTACTTTAAACCATCTAGCAATTCTGAGTTAGCCAAGCAGAGCTGGAAGGTAGTGGCCATCAACAGCTTTAGCTTAGACCAATCCAAGCATCTCATGAAGCAACAAAAGGCAGCTTTATCATGCCAGGATGACCATCTAGATAAATTTTAGGTTGCAAAAAGTAGAAATGTTACAATATTTGTGTAGTGCAAAGTCTTAGTGAACCAAATATAGATATAAGCACCATTCTCCCACTGTCTCTATCATCTTCCGACTCTTAAAAACCAAAATTGTTCATTTTCATAATCTATGAGTGAGTTGCAGGTCTAAATTCCAACCTCTCAGTAAAAAAACTCTGGCAGAAGTTTGTCAGTATTCAGACTAAGACAGCTGTCTTAGGAATTGCAGAACAGCATACAGAAACTGATAGTCTAGTTAAAGGTGTAGTAGAAAGCAGGCACTTATGAAGGACGTAGGAAGTTTTTGACACGACTTCTTCTTGTCTTTTCACCTGCTTTACACAGTAGCAAGGGATGCTCAGTTTTCAAGGTTCACATACACAGCTATGTCTGACAATGTATTTTCCTGTCCTCAGGTAAGTTGACATTGGTAAGATTCAGCTTTGTCTGTAAGTATTAAAACCAGATATTAACTGCTTCTTGACAGCTCTCATGCCAACACCACAACACTTTGTCACTGACATATTTGTACACCTTGCAGTTTCAGTACACAGTTATGTAACTGACTGGATTTTGGCTTAGCTCCCTTTGCTGGGATTGCTCCCAACTGTATCAATGTATCCACTATCAAACTTTCAGCTGGATTTGCTAACTAGCATGTTATTTCTTTACACGTACTCTTAAGCAGATGACTGCAGTGCAAACTAATAATCTCTTGAAAGACATTTGTTCTGTTGACAAGGCCATTCAACTGAGGAAAGTAGGTCTCTATCAACTAAAACCATTAAGAGACTAATCTTGAGTATTCCATGTTACAGAGAGATGCGGTGGCACAGACCAAGGAGTTTCAAGGAGAGGTGAAGGGAGGAATCCAGACCAGACCGTGCAGACCAGCTCTTGGAACCTGCCTTATGGAAGACTCATTGGTCATGCTGTTGAGTTGATGATAGCCCTGATTAACACCACAAACTGTGTTACACTAAAAATGAATTTTTCTCTGTTTATTTTCAATCCTAGGTCTTGCAAAAAGAGCAGGCTTCAAGTAAGACTGAAGTCAAATACTGACAGACAAGGAAATTTTACCCATACTTAACTTTCTATCATCTTGTCTTTCTTACATCTCTGAAGATCTAGAGTGGCTACAAGTCTTTTCACGCTTCTAAAAACAAAACTCCCACACCCGCCTCCCGTAAAAACCTTTAAAATAGTTACTCTCTCCTCTACACTTCACATACTTGTCCTATCTGTGCCCCTTCCCCCTCTTAATTGTCCTCAAAAGACAATAAAATAAAGAAACTTTAAACTTTAATTCCTTTGACATTACAATGGGAGTGAGTGGCTAAAATAAGAAGTGAAATATTTATGCAATCTAAAAATTAAGATAACATAGTGTTTAAAAAAATCTACCTAACCAGCTGTTCAAAACAGGAAACACAGAAATAAAATAATTAATCAGTTCTGCCAACCCCTGAGGATTTTGTGACTGGCAATAGTAAGATCCTGCCATTTTCATACAATTGCCGTTTGGATAAAAGAATAAATAAAACATTTCTTCCTTTTTTCCAGGTGCTTCTTTTGTCTGTGTGTCCCAGGGAAGAAGAAAAAAAGACACTGACTGGTCTCTACCTGGATTTCAGCACTTGGTTTTTACAGAACATCCTATCACAATGTTCTCCCCACATTACAATCCTGGAAATGTGGGTTGCTGCTTTCACATCACAAGATCAAGTACAGGAAGTGGAAATCACTCTTCTTCCGAAGGAGCTGCTTCAATGCTAGAGATGCTGCTACTTTTTGCTCCTGCTGCACAGCCACAGTTTGCCAATGTGGAGAAGAACAACAGCTCTTTAGTGAAGGGAAGATGCAAGCTCGTTCATAGGCGCGCTCCAATCTTAGATTACAATTGTTAGGTCGGCCTTGCAGTAAAAGCTGCCATTTTTTCCATCACAGTACTCTGTACTGTGAATGTCCAAAGTGCTAAGTGGGTATTTAGTTTCATTTACAACAAAGCTTAACAGAAGCAATGCATGGTCTAATAAATCCTTGGCTTGTTTTTTTAGGCATTAGGGTTGAGATCTTCAATGTGCAAGAAGATGCTCAGTGGGATATTCTTAATTGCCTAAGCCTAATTCCCACTGAAGCTTGAATATCTTAAAAATCTGGCCTGTGGCTTTACCACAGAGCTAAACATCACCAACAATGTTAATACTTTAAAGTTTCAATGCAACATATGCATATTATCATAATAAATTATTTTAAAATTATAGTCAAGCATTTTCAGTCTCCTCTTACAAGCTGGAACCATTTCTTGAAATTTTGAAATGAGTTGTGCTGTGCTATTTCACAAATTAAATACTTGTCAGTCAGAGAGACCCCTTCCTTTCCACCTATTCACTTTTGTTAGAAAATAAACTCTCAAATATTGTAACATATAGTGAGACATAGTTTAGAACAGGACCTTTTCTACAGACGTGTAAACAGTATTACGGAGGATTTTCTACCCTAGAATTCCTATAATCACAATTTTTCTGAATACCTGAAAAAAACCCGGTGGTACAGGACCTACTGGCATGGCATCTCCTGGGGGAATGTTTCCTAGCACTGGACTGGGAGCTGCTGCAGCACTCTGAAAAGAACAAAGGGAGAATAAACCTTTGTCATTGCATGGTAGGCATTAAACCCAAAAAGACCCCAAACCAAAAAAAAAAAAAAACCAAAAACAAAAACAAAAAAAACCAAAACAAAACAAAAACAAAAACAACAACAACAAAAAAAAAAGCCACAATGCAAAACCTGATGAAAATGCAGAAAGTAGTTCTCTGGATATGTCATAATGTCATTGTTTCATATGATGGTAAATTCAAATTGTATAGTGTTGAGTCTTCGTTAACACAAGTACCATGATTTGCTAAAATAAATGTATGTTGAGGGGAAGGATGCTAGAGTTTGCACAGATACCCAAATATGCGTTAATCAGATGCAACTTGTCTAGATTTTAAAAACTATTGTGTCTGAGTGTGTCTCTCTATATACAAATGTGAAAGTAACTTGCACACTTTTTCTTGTATTATGTGTATAAACAACCTCACACATGCACAAGGATATACATATAGCAGAAAGAAAGTAATTTATGCATTTTATCAGCAATTTCCAAGTACTTTAAAGATTATTTCAGCAGATCGTAATATTCTTTCAGAACTACATCAAGCTTCAAAACAGGATTCTGTTACAAACAGTACAAGAAGGAACGCTCATGATTCTGTTGGTAATGCTTATGATTTCACCAACCCCAGAAATAACCACCATGACAAATTAGAACAATTCAGGTTACATTTTTGGAAGGGAAGAGAAAAAAGGGATTTCTGAGAAGTGAATCAGAGGATGAAATTAGTTACCTTTGCAAATCCTTCAACTGGAATAAGCAAGTAAAGAATATTGCTTCTGGCGTCACAAAAAACGGAAGCCAAACTGCTATTGTTGTCATGTATTGGAACCTCAACTACTTTTAATTTCTAGCAGTCTTCCTTCCTGCAATATGTTTCTGTTAGGGCATAAGGCTGAATCACCTATAAAGGCTTAAAATCTTTTGTGAAAGTACTCACGCAAAATACAAATACAAATACAAAATGCATTGAGGGCCACTTGCAGCTTGCTAATGACCTGCCAATATCTGCCCTACAGAATATGAACGGCTTATGTTTATTAACTTATCACTCTATTGTATGTTCACACTTGATATCCAAAAGATGCAGATCTGGAAATTGTACTTCCAGGTGTTTGGCACACTATCTAGGAAATTAAAGAATAATGCTGGAAAGATTTGAAAACTGGCACAAAGAGGAGCTGACCTTTTTAAACCAAGCAGAAAGGAAATATTCAGTTAATTACTATGGATTTTTCAATGGCTTAAGCTGTGCTTTAGAATCAAACTTCTGAACAAGTAGCACTAGAATATTTAGCATCTAAGCTATATGTTCTTTGCAAACAAAAGTCTAGAACATATCATTAAAATACAAAGACTGCAGAAAGCGCTGGCTTCAGAACTGAGTACAAGACTTTGATTCACTAGAAAACCCTGTAATAAAGGGTCTTACTTATGCAACGACCTGGTCTGCAGGATCAGTGTTATAATACTATATAATTGCAACAGACAGAAAAAGCCCTTCAGCTGAGTTGTTCATAGCAAACACTTTTGAATCATAATACCTTCTTTGTGAGAGGCTACCACAAACGAACCAAGCCAGCCCATAAAGCTGTAGCAAATACAGACAGTTCCCCACTAGCCACTGCCATTCTTTGAGTGCTGCCTGAAGATCATGAGACTGGAGAATTATGTTTCTTAGATGCATGCAAAATCATGCAACTCCCTGGAAGGTCTTAGGTACTTCTCTCACGTCTGCCACAGTCTCTTGGCTGCTCAGACAGAAGGGGAATTAAGCAAGTGGTGTGAACGTAGAGATGTAACTCCTGAAGAACAAAATAATTTTGTTATCCTTCCTTTCTTTTGCATGGCGTCTGTGAATGTCCACAAATTACTTTCATAATACCAACTTTTCCAAAGGAAAACAGTAGAGAAAGTTTTTGGCTTTTTCTTTTTTTTTAAAGCCAAAAAACCCCAAAAGACCTGTTTAAACTGCGCATCAGGTAACAATGTCAAGTAAAATAATGAATAGGTGCAGACACAGTTTGAGTGAAGTATGTTGGACCTTACTTCCATATGTACAGGTTTTCTAGATGAAGAATGACATCAGTAGGATCACTGAAGGAAAAAATCAATGACATTAAAAGCCTGAGCATCTAAAAATGTCCAGAATAGCCTGCACTGCAGCCTCTGACTAAGAGGGAGTAGCCCATTAAAGGGGCACTAACAATGATGAACCTTATTACAATATCATCCCTCCTTGCATACTAATTCCTGGTTGTCCCTATGCTACCTCAGCTGTGTCCATCCTTACCTGCCATGTGTAAGCACTGTAATACGTCTAGTGGAGCCGATGCTACAGAATAAAGTATTTGAACAGACTGGACAAACACATCTCAACAGTATGACATCAGATAGGCAAAGTCCTGTTAAGTTGCAAGATGTCGGTCAAAGCAGCACGTCCCCTGATACACACACTGTTTTCAGAAGCCTCCCATCCCAGGTTCCCTCACTCCTACTCTCATTATTTAAACTACACTGTACCAGCCATTAATGCATGTCAGAGTGCCTTAATGTGTTCATTCCATGGCTCTTAGATGCCCTTCTCAATGGTGGCCTCTGCCAGAGGCCCCAGGTTATGAAAGGATGCTTCTAAGAGAAGGAGAGAATGACTTCTCAGGACGCAGTGCTCCTAGAGGGATACAGGGATCCACCTCTACTGAGTTCATGCTGTTTCCCACACTTTCAAAAATAACTTTTAAAAAGAAAAATGGTCAAATATACTTAACAGTTCTAAAAAAAGAGAAAGAAGGAAATTATTATTCCAAAACAGAGGGAGAAAAGGATTAAAAGTATATGTTGAGATTTACGTTAGCCATTAACTATTCTAACAAGGCTCTGTAACAACAATAACATTTTCATAATTCTCTCAATAGTAGTTTTTTTATTTTATTTTTATTTTCCCCCCTATTTTTGAATCTGACTTAGCACTGATACTCGAGGAACCCAGCTTCATTCTCCAGAGAAGGAACCAGCATGCAATTCTCCAGGCCTGGTCAAACAGGCACAGAGTGATTCTTTTTCTATTAAGCTACAGACATATCAACGGATGATCCTAAGTCTACCTCACACATGTACAGAGGTAACAAACTGTATTACTTTCAGAGGTGCTGCTGATTCCTGTGAAGGGAATATGGCTCCAAAGTAATGACCTTTTTAGGAGGAGTGGGTTTTGTACAACTCTGTTGAGGAAGACGTGTAGAGAGGAGCCTGATGGATCCAACTGATAGGATGGCAGACCTTCTCCCGCCTCCTCAGAGAGCCTTCTGCTTGACGACCCATGTCCCATTCTGGAGAGCTGCGCTGAGGGTGGCCAAAGATCTGAGCAGTGCTATCAGATGGATACCAGAGGAACCACTTGTGACAATGAAGGGGGAAGAAAAGTAAGGTCTTGTGGAGGTGATTACGCAAGTAATCCAGACTCATTGACTCCACCTTGGTTCTGTTCTCATGGTTTCCAAGAAGAAGAAGGGAGCCAGCTCTTTGCTTCAGGCTAGTTACTCAAAATCAAACTCATTTACTAATGTTGGCCACTTCTTGATTGTGGAACATGACGTTTCAGGGAGGGATTCAATGTGTTGATTTTAAATGGCCTAATTATTTGAGACTTGATTACACATTGTAGTTTACAGACACTTGTGCAAAACCATCTCTCCTTTGTATTTCTGAGTGGGAAGGTGGACAGAATGATGCAAAGTTTGATTGGCCATAATAGTAGGTCAATTTTACTGACATTTGAAGTACCACTTAAAAATTCTAAGAATATTGTAGTTATAGGCATTCTGTAATAGTCCAGTCTTAGATGTTACAGAAACTTCAATTTCTATCTCTCATTATGTAATGTACAGCATTTTTGTTCTCTTTTCATGTTTGTTTTGGATTTTCTTCCCTGATGTGCAATGAAGTTCCAAAACAGGAAATAAAGCATTTCCAGTGTTTTAGGTATATTACATTTTCTACCTTGCACTATCCAATGAACATTTTAAGAACTTATATCAGGCAGATCAATAAACAAACCTGCAACAGCTGCATGGAAATATTCTTATTTATTCTACCCTGATGAATTATTCAGCTCTTTTTTCACAGTCCCACAGCAAACCATGGCTTCTTTTTGCATGCATTACAAGTTGTTCATCATTTATACTCCCATTAGTTTGACTTTTTAAATATTTGCAATTTGCTTTCCCTGCCTTTCATAAAAAGATGAAATACAAAAGTTTAAACACCCTAATCTTTTTGGATACTACCTCACCCTCTTAAAAATGGAAAACCATATTTGCTTTTCTAGCTAGAATACTGAATTTATGGTATCTTTACAATTATGAATTAATTGTAATTCAAGTACACTTGAATGAAACTTATTGAGGCCATTCTTTGCTTTACCCAAGCTACCCTCAACAATGTAAAAATAATTATTACATTAAAAAAATTTAAAGTAGCCACAGTTTAGGGGTTTTTTATCAATAAAGAAATCACAAAGCAAATAAAAAATAAAAATACAAATAGGTTAGTTACTCCATTAATATAGTGTATGAAATATAAAAATACAGAAGAGTAGTTTCCAATACACAGGTCATTTCTGATGCTATCACAGGAAGTGGTTTATGACAGATGCCTATAGAAGAATTCCGTTTGCAATCACATAATTCTACAAAGGACGGTCTTGACTTTATCTATAAAAATCGTGGTCATTGATAGCTTTGAAGTGACAGATATACTGTAGCCAATATTGTAACAAGATCAGCAAATTTCCATTTGTAAACACTTCAACTTGTAATTTATCAAGTATTTCTAAGCCATTAGCTAGTTACTATAGTAGTGCTTCATTATTTTTTACCTACCACAAATCAGAGAAAGAAATATTAAGAGGAACTACACTGATTAACTACTACAAAGTTTCTCATTTTCTACAAGACAGAACATAAAACTACTCACCACTCTGAACAAAAAAAAATTTAAAACTGGCTGCCAACAAGCTATCACTCCTTCTGTAGAGCCTTTGAACACTTGGCTGTACACAAAAAAACCCCAACGCCTAGACTGGTTTATTTACAATGAGGTTAAAATCTTCCCCAAAAAGATAGATTCATGACATCGATAGAAGCAAGCCATTTGAAAGATCTGGATCACAAGACCTAACTAATTCTTGGTGTTGTTCCATTGATATATATATTCGTCTAAAACATTAAATTTATGTTCTGTAATAGGAAGGCATTTGCATGACAGTAGTAGTCTGAGAATTATAGAAGGTCATAATCCTCATAACTTCCCAGTTTTCCTTAAATTGCCAATCCTTACAGTTTGATCTGGACTCTGGCATTGCGTTTCTGTTCACTCTATCTTATATATTATTATGAATAACAAAGAACACATAAAGTCATATAAAATAATTCTATTAATAGCCAAATTGTGTATCTGCTATCAGAAGAAAGAAAATCATATTTAGGATTTTTTTGGGGGGAAAAAATTGGTTTCCTCAGTTCACATTAGCAGAATTGTTCACTTCATGAAGGGCGGACCTGTTGACAAGGACGGGTACGCTCTAGGACTCCAGCCATCCCTCTCCTCCCATGAAATAATCCTACCCCTGAAACAACTTCACAGTAAGCAAAGCTTCCCCACATCTGAAGTAGGATTACAGTTTGTTTTTACTGTATCCCAGTGCCTAATCTGGGGTTTTCATTCTACTTAGCTGAGACAGTGAAATTCTATAATAAAACAAAAAAACAGGTGTTAGGTTGGAAGTATACTGTTAAGGGTAACAGAAATTATTTCTAGGGAAAACTTTGCTATCAATGAATAAAAGGATTTCAAACTCTTGTCTAAAGACAGCGTTTCAGTCCTGTCTCTTAGCTGCTGCTGCTTCTTGGATTACTTAGAACACAGTTTCCAGAAAAAAAGACTTCTCTAAAGTATGGGTATAAAGAGAAGTTATTTTAAAATGAACCTTGATTATTCACTGAAAGTTACTAAAATCACTACTACGCTTAGGTATCAGCAGAATGTTCACTATTTAAAAAACAAAATCCAAAAATAATTTGTGTTTTAAATATGGAAATAAAGTATCAATTTTCTGTCCATCTTTTTTCAAAACTCAGCAGAACTATACTTAAAAACTGAGTACTTGTTTTTTCCTATTTCTTTATGAAGACACAAAAAAATAAGAGCAACATTTCCAATAATGTTTTTGGACAATTTTCTAGGAAAGGAAGGGAATTCATTTCAGCTTAATTCCAAGCCCTGTGTTATTTAGTGATATTTATCTATGTACCAAATCAAAGCATCAAAGGCTAGCCAACTGAGTTATGTTACACATTTGATAAAATGCAGCAATATTATCAGATTCATCAGTAATAACCATGCTGCTGACAAGTTAAAGGCACTTGAGGACACAAAACACTGCTGTTGCAGCCTGGAACGGAGTTGCAGTGATATTTCAATGAAATTACTTTTTTCCAGAAGTCACACTTACATCCCTCCTCCAGATTCCCTGGAGATCAAGACTGCTTTGGCCTGCTGGCTTAACAACTGCAAAATACTCAATGTGCTTTTTTTTTCCAAGCTGCACCTCCAGATCACATCTTTGTTCAATAACTGACACTGCAGACCACAGGTTTAACCCACAGCCTTCCTCATCGCAAGGAATTTGAATGAAGATGTGTGAAGATGCGTCTCTTAAAAAGGCGTTAGCAAGAAATGGATAGGAGGAAATTATTTAACTTACATGACTGTGACAAGTTACATGCATCCCATTGAATTTTTTAATATGTCTTATCATATTGAAGCATTGTTTTTACAGTTAAAATTGCTAAAATACAAAACTACTATATAAAAATATACTATTGCCTTTTCTCAGTATTTTCTCTGTTGGGGTCATGATAATAGGACTGCAAAAAAAGAGATTTTTAATATACACAGTCAAATAATTTTAAATTGTGACCGATCATATAGCATTCTCTCTGATCAGTTCAAAGATAGTACCTAAAGCTAACATTTAGAAATAGAGTGCTTAGTCCAACTATGTGTTTGAGTATTACTAAGACAGTCACTGTGCTTAAGCCATGACATACTGCAAAAAGTGGGCTGATCGCTGCTAGTCTTTTCTTCCTACTCTAGCCACATTCCACTTGGTTCTGTTGATACTCCACAGAAAATTCACAGCTGGTGCAACCGTGCTAGCTAGGCTAGTATGACAAGACCGTCTTATATCCTAACTTTCTCTGGTAATTAACCTTATTGGCACAGTGTCTTTTAATCTAATCTAGTTTTTACACCCATTTTGGTTTCCAAAGATTTTAAGATTGCCATAGTATTGCACTCCAATTCTCATGCTACTTCACGCCACACAATGTTAACGGCTCTCCCATTTTAAGAATACAGTGATTAATAACAATAAGATTAAAGCTTCTCTGCATCTCTCTGTCTTTTCCAAGTTATGAAACAGAAATGAAAAAATATGTTGTGGGCTGAAAGACTGAATTTTGATTATAAAATGAAAAGCAGGCTGGTTTGAGGCTATCCTTAGGTTGCCTGGGAGTGATTCAGCGATCTTGGCAATATATGCACACCTTCAGAAAAAAAAAAAAAAAAAAAAAAAAACCAACTCAAAAAACTCAGTAATTCCTTCTATATACAAAATGGATTTTTGTCTCAACATGTAGCTGACTGGAAAAGAAAGCACACACAGAAAACTAAATGTTATTTCAGAAAGAGCTGAACTGCAGGATGAAAACTGCTCCTCTGCTCAAGAAATATTTGGATTTTCTTGTTTGGACCTTCATGTCAATGGAACTCCTCTTTAATAACCATCACTAAAATACTAACTACAGATACATTTCTGCTTTTTCAAGTCTATGCACCAAATGTTATTACTCTGGCCTAAAACATGAAGATATGTGACTTTGCAATATCGTAATATTGACAGAACATTTTCATCGGCAAAACATACCAAAGTAGCCATTTGGATTTTTGGAACATTAGCTCCACTGTTGATCGAGTTAGTGGTATGTAACACAATACACACTTTTCTTTAGAGCCTCTAGCTTGAACTTCATTACTTTAAAACCAGTGGTATTTCTTGTCTATATGGGTGCTGAAAAATAAAGGTTTAATTCCATAACAAGTATGTGGTCCTTTTAAGACATCAGGAGACAGAAATTAAAGTGAAGCTATTCCCTAAATGTCCTGAAGTTAATTCCATAAGCAGAAACGTCAGCACAAGGCCAACATTTTCAGGAAAATATATGTTGGAATATCTATTTCCATGCAACACCGAATAAAAC